AACGCGTGATGTTCGTGAAAGAACGTCGAGGTCGAGGCGCAACACGCAACACGCACGGTCGAGGTGTTAATTTTAACGCCAGGCTTTCCCCGATGCTTGCCGCTGTCGGCCGGCTGTTGCTGTTGCTGTTGCTGTTGCTATTGCTATTGCTGTTGCTGTTGCGAGCAGACCCGATCGTTTCGCGAAACCAGTCCCGCGACGATCGCACCCAGAGAGTTTCGTAAATTGCTGCGTATTGTCGCGTATTGTCGCGTATTGTCTCGCAGCGTCTCGTCTCATTTCGTATGGTATCGTATTGCATCGTATGTGGTCGTATACCATCGTATGGCATCGTATGGTGGTATCGTCTCGCCTTGTCTCGTCTCGTCTCGTCTAGTCTCGTATCATATCGTATCGTCTAGTCTCGTATCGTATCGTATCGTATCGTATAGTATAATATAGTATAGTATAGTATAGTATAGTATAGTATAGGATAGTATAGTATAGTATAGTATAGTATAGTATAGTATAGTATCGTATCGTATCGTATCGTATCGTTGAAAGCTAGTGCAACGAAGCCACGCCTACTTCAGAGCGAGATAAATAGTGTCCGATCTCTTCCTCTATCGTTATCTGCCCCGAAGCGTCGCTTTAGAAAGAGAATGGACAGAGACTGCTCCGTTCGGCACACCGACGAAATGGGAGCTACGGAATCCGTGTCTTGCTAACACTAATCGTACCGTCGATGCCGGTCGTTACGTTCGTTACGCTCAAACAGTTTGCAATGTTTGCATAAATTGCACAGAAATCAAGAACCAAAGAACCATTCTGAAAACTGAAGGTCGGTTGCGGTCTTATTTCACGCTGGAAGCATCCACGTTTCCCGAACAATGAGCAAGGGTTATCGTGTCGAGGGGAACAATTGCGAACGTATTAAGGGAAACAGTCCGAGAATGTTACCAAGTTATACACATTGGTCTGTCCGACAGTTATCGCCAGAGTACGGATTTTACGCATTCATGGCAAAATCGGGTAGTTTCAATTTCAAATAGCGTAAATATTACAAATATGTTATAACGTCGAGGTATCATTTTTAATTTATTAACATAACCTAAGCAAAAATAAATTATACAATGACAATGGCCCTCCTAGGACGAGTGGCCTCCGATGGTCGCGGGAGACGAATTCAGGCTCATCGCGACACATAATAAAGTTTTTATTGCAAACTAGCGTCGGAAAGGTATCGTTGCGCGTTTTGATGAGCATATTATTTTATCGCCTTTTTATTTTGAACGAAAGTCCGCAGCCTAGTTATCACTTTCCGTCTTAACCCTTAACGTAAAATCTGACAGGTGACTTTGGCAGAATATACCAATGAATTTTTATATAAGGAAGTAAAAATATCTTTTCGTATATTCGGAATGAAAATCTTCGGTACGTAATTTCTTTTCGCATGAAAAGAAATCCGCCGGACTCGACGGGGTTTGTAAACATGAAATACTCCTGGCGCGAAGGGTTAACCCTTTGCACCCAAAGTTATAGCATTTCCATTTCAAATAACTTACTGTATTTTGTACATTGAATTGACGACATTGAATTTTGTGACTCAAGCGGTAATTACGCTTTGCAGAGTTTTTTTTTTAAATATAAACACATTCGGTGATGTCGAAATTATTTTGAAACGTGGTACAATAATTTTTGATGGCGCCTCAGAGTCGCCACTCGAGTGTAAAGGGTTAACTTTTGCGACGTAAAGTGTTCGTACCGTTGAAACATTGAGAATGAAATAAAATAATAAAATATCGAATATTCATGGAATAATAAAATAATAATAATAAAATATCGAGGCATGGACGCAGAACATACACGAGCTCCGATTGCCCCGTGGGGCAACGCCGGGACACCGTCGAAAGCGAGAGCAGGGAAACCACGCCTACGCGTCTCGGTGTGCTCGCTCGTATGGCTCCGTTTGTCCAGAAAAGCTCTGCTCTCGGTCCCGCCGCTCTCTGGTAGCTCTCGTCGCCGCGAGCAAACTCTCCAGGACGCGTTATTATCGTTATTGTTGAGGGAAACTCGAGGTTGGAAGATTCGAAGTAGAGGGGAAGAGCGACGAAAAGAGATAGAGAGAGAGAGAGAGAGAGAGAGAGAGAGAGAGAGAGAGAGAGAATAGAGCAGGATCAAAGAGGAGCAAAGAGAAGCCGCAGCTACGTGCGTGTGCGACAAGTGCCGATGACAATGAGCGCGGTCTGCGTGAGTGCGTACTTGCACGCAGATGCACGCAGATGCACTGGAGTGCACCGGAGTGCACGCAACGACCGGGAGACGCACGCGATGCCCCGCTAACTTACCTTCGTTTTTAACGCGTTGCGCGTCCCCGTCGTTTACTCCTCGGCCGAGCGAACTCGCGGCTGAAATTCCCTCTTTTTTCCGCCGGCTTTTCGACGACCAACAGGTATAATTTCACCGGTGCTCGCGCGAACGATCGCGCCCCAACTTCTCGCGGGATCGCCCGAAAAATCGACGAACAGTCCCGAACGTGCGCGCACACACGGTGTTGCGAGTTGAAACCGGTTGCACGGAGGCGCCGAGCGCTATCAAATATTTGTCCACGCACGGCCGAGTCGAGGAAACGGACGCGTTTCGATGCGTCGCCTCCGCGTCCCGACGTCCCCGGGGACTCCCCTAGAGCGAAACGGTGAAAGTAATTGGCCGACGCCATCGCTGTCAAAACCTCGTCGCCGGAAATTTGACGGGAAACCGGTTTCGGCACGCGTGGCTCCGACGTAACGGCTAGGCAGCAACGTTACCGAAACCGTCCGCGTTCCTCCTCGAGAAGATTCCGTCGCGGATACCGGGGAACGACGGCGATTCGTCTCGCAGGAAATTAGCGATCGTTGGAAACAAAGAGGTCACGAACGGGGCCCCGTCCTGTTCCGAGTATATGTGTAATACTTCCACGCGACAGAGGCAATTTTTTCTCCCCTCGCGTATCGCGAATCGCGACACACTCGGACGAGGAGAGTCCGCTCTTGGTCGCGCGCGCGCGCGCGCGCGCGAGCGAGCCTACCTAAATGCACGGTATCGGTAGCGGATCCAATTTGAGATACGAGACCGGAAGACGCATTGTTCGCGCGGAATAGTACAAATTAACAGATCGGTATCGTGACCGGTGCAATTAACATTGTGTACACTGGTGCGGTGGATTGGCTTTCTTGAAATCTGACGGTTTAATTAGGCGCCACCTTCGTAGCAGATGCGCGCCCGGTTCGATTAATTACCCCCGGCTCTTCGTTCCTCGGCCCCCGTCGCCCTGCACAACCCCCCTCTCCCGTCGCCCTGCGCCCCTCCGACACTCCGACACTCGACTCGGCGTATCGTTCCGGTACATCTCACTCGGTTAAATCGACACGCTTAATGGTAAATGCGTCGATAAAGAACGGCGTCACCTTTTCGAGTCCCTTTCGCTCCCTTTCGCTCCCTTTTCGTCCGTCGCCCGTTCGAGACTCCAAGCGGAAACGGTTTACTCGCTTCGAGTCTCCTTTATTTCGACTCGCTCGTTGCACTTGCGTCTCGTCGACGACGAGAGGGGATGGTAATTTATTCTGGGAAACACGGACCGTACAGCGGTATCATTTGTTCAGCGAATGAAAATTATAGCTGGAACACTGGAGCTCTTTCTTGGAACGTTGGCTTCGTGATCCATCGCACGTTAGATCGATCGGTCCACGCACATCCGTTCTTCGATTGTCCGGTCGTTCTCCGTCAGCGGTTTAGCCGGGGCACATTTTTTTTAAGAGCTCGCGATCACACCTGGACACGCTTGAAATGAGGTTTCAAGCGATGTGTCATTTTATTTTACAATTATTTTCATGCCTGTATTTCCTTTTGAAATAACATTGTCTGAATATTTATTTCAAATAACATGTCGTTTTATTTGATCATTATTTTGAAGCAATCATTTGAAAGAAATATTTGCAATCGTTATTTGAAATGATTATTTGAAATATTTATTTACTTGAAATAACTGTGAAGTTACAGTTCATCGTCTGAACCTGGTTCGCACCGTTTTGCATTAAACAAATTGTTCCGAAGATTTCATAAAATAACATCGTTTTCTGTTCATCATTATCCTCAGCGTTATTTTCTGTTGGCCAATTTGAAATGAAGAAATGTCGAGGTTGCTCATTATTTGAAATCGTTTTATCTCAAGTGAATCGATGCTATTTTTATCTTCGAACAACGGCACTGAAAACGATGGTCCGACGATAAACTATTTCAAATCGTAGTTGCTTTTTATCTTTATTTCAATTGTATCCCTTCTGCCACAACAATCAGCCGTTTTCTTCCTTGCACAATGTTTCGCATCGAACGGAGGTATTTTAGATGAAAATCTTCGGTGCCACAGCCAGAATGGTAAGACTACCAACACACGACATTATGTATCGATCCGTAACAAAACGCTGCATATTGTTTTACAATTCCGTGTGTGTATATTGGAAGTTCTCGTACGTCGTGCTGTAATTTCTGTTTCGCAAACGGGTCGCACCGCTCTGCACATTGGTCTGGAAATTCAATTTCGTTGATCAAAGTTATTTTAGCGTTATTTCAAGGTTCATGATTATAATTGGACCGCGGATTTTATGCTTTTATAATAAATATGGTCAGGCAACATTTCAAACAATGAGAATGTTAGAAGGACACCTATGCATTATTTTGAACTAAGTGAAATTATTACAGGCAGAAAGTAATTTCGACTGATGGAAATAACTTTTATTCTGCGCAAAGAAACGACTCCAGTAAGAAATGTTTTGCTAAACTCTCTTATTGCAGCATATATTACACTAGAAATCGTACAAGATTTGAATGAATCAAATCTAAATATTGTTACAGAACTATGTACGTACATTGGTTTAGCGTTAACAGTCGCGTGGTTGTTGGCATTGAGAAATTGACTTCTGGCCGCGGAGATGTTTCCAGGCCGCTTTGCCCTGTATCGTACAACGTGGCGGACATTGTTGCAGGGTTAAGGACGTCGCCGGTGAACATCGTGGCGACCGCGACCGTCGTGACGGAGGAGGCACTCCTGGCCGACGACGAGGTCGAGAACTGCGAGGGCGAAAGCGAGGGCACCGAGAAGTCCGGCAACGAGGAGGACGAGGAGGTCGACGTCGACGTCGAGGAGTGCAGCAGCGTCGACGACGGGCCGGTCCACAGCGCGCCCGACGACCTCAGCTCGACGTCGTCGAGAAAATGTCAGGACGTGCACGGCGAGCACGAACGAAAGCACCGGCTCAGGACCAGTTGCAACTCCGACGAGCTTCGGGACGTCGAATGCCACCTCGAGACCAAAGAATTGTGGGACAAGTTCAACGACCTTGGCACCGAGATGATCATCACCAAGACGGGCAGGTAAGCCGTGTTGTATTTCATCGGACACGTTGGCCTAACTCCGGAAAACCTTCGATTTTACGGATCCTTTGTGTTCCGTCGTGTCCCGCGGAGCCTAATCGTTTCGTCCGCATCTTCGGGCTCTCCGTGTTGCGTCCCAACCCTCTCGATTAATAGCTGTTTAACGAGCGCGGACGCGTTCGGTTGTCCCGAAAGTTCCTTTCGAAAATCGCCACCTTGGTGGACAACATCAGGACACAGAGAAACGTGTTGTTCAACTCGACGACAATGTTTCATCGTTTTCTGTAGTTTGTTTCGTTAACTGCGCTATTTGCTTGTCGATAAAATAATTGTGAATTGAGATTATTAGTATTTATTTATTCTTTTCTTTCTTTATTTCTTTATTTATTCAAACGGGAAGAATAAACATAATACGGTACAACCTCGATTAACCGAACTGGATTTTCCTTACTATTTAGATCTTTGATTTATGCTTCATCGTTTCTATCATATCAGAGTAGTATTGCTGAGGTGTTGCGCGCGTCGGTCGAAAACGAAATGAACTCTTGGGACAATTCAATATTATAGTCAAACGTTTGGGTAGTTTTCTATCGTCTCGCAATGTTGCCAACAATGCAAAGCAGAACTGATATTATTGGAACTATGGAATTCGATGTCCATTCGAATGACCTAAATAACATGGAGCTCAAATTAACCCTTCTAGGATTATTATTATTATTTATTTATTTACGTGTAAAAAATCCTGTAGTACACAACGGTTGATTACTAATAATCATAGGTAGTTAGGACATCAAAGATAGTTCGTCTGAAAGTAGCCTCGGAACGGAATAAGTCGATCGATTTACAATATTTGTTGACATGTAATAGAATGTTGACAAGTATATAAGTACATTTTACACAAGTATATAAGGACATTTGAAAAACGTTAAATTTCTGTGGGAAAGATATTAATACCTCTTCCGCACATAATGTATTAAAGGTATCTAGATTAATTATTATTGAATTAGGAGGACAAATCAGCAGTGGAATTCTATTACTGTACGGAACGTACGTGTATTCAGAATTCTGAACGGCGACACTTTCCTTGTACACCTGTTGTCACGGAAGGCTGCGATCGACTGCATTATTGATCCGAGTCTAACGTGAGCAAAATAAAAAAAATCTTGTAGAACTTGTCTAGTTACCGATGATATTCCGTGTAATATTATACTATATATACTAGATACATTACATACGCTATATATTATACATATATACTATGTATTATGTATAATATATGCTATATATTATATATAGTATTATATTATATGTATGTATTATATTCGGCATTGCCACCTTTGGATTATTCCTAGGTTCTTGGCAATTATAATTAGACTGTGGTTCTTTGTGCATTCATAGCAAAACAAAATGGATAAACAAACCACAGTACAGTGCAGACGCAAGAAGAATTTACAAATTCTATTAATTAAGATATAAAATAATATTATAACGTTATTAAAAGAAGAAATACATTTTTATCTAACTGCAGTTTACAGTCAGTCATAGTTAATTATATAGGATGTCACAGGTTTTAACCCTTTGCACTCGAAGCTATTTTAACTGAAAATATAAAATCATTTTTCTAACTTATAATATTTCTACTTTATATGGCAAAATGCATTTTATGCATATGAAATTGACTCTTGGGACTCGCACAACAGTTACGCTCTTAACAATTTCTTAAATCTCTATATAAACTTTGTTAATATCTCTCAAAATTATCTTAAAAGGTGATATAGCAAATTTTAGTGGTGCCTGAGAGTCACCACTCGAGTGCAAAGGGTTAATGTTCAGACTTTGCTAGTACAGTAAATTCTCTTCAATTGTCCCTCAGCTTGTAAACAAATATGGACAATTTGGGAACTGGAGAGATTGTCAACAACTATAAAAACGAGATGCAAGGCTCGATTAATCGTATCTCCGCTTCTCAAATTGTCCATTTTTGTGTACAAGCTGAGGGACAATCAGAGAAAATTGATCGTATATCATACGGCACTAAGTTAGAAAAAAATGTTATCTAAACATAGGTCGTTCAGAGCTTTATTGACTAGTTATAGCAAAAAGTACAAGAATACAAGTGGCATAGTATTTAATTTGCTATAATTATAAGCATGGCTCGAATAGATCAGTGTATCTGTTACTTGACATCGTCACTTCCAATAGCTATTACCGCGGCAATAAGTAGGTAGTATCGCAGGTAATAATCACTGCTTACATAAACACACTCAATTTAAATATTGCTGATCCATTTGAGCCAGTGTTCGATTTACCAATTCCACTTGTATTCCGTATTTTTGCTAGAACTGTTTAACAAAACCCTGAATAACCTATGTTTAGGAAACATTTCTCTCTCTCTCTCTCTCTCTCTCTCTCTCTCTCTCTCTCTCTTAGTGCCATAGAATATACTGAGAAATCTCGAACATTAAAAGCTGTGACACCCTGTATAATCGTCGAGGACAATATTGCATTTTGCATAAATATCTAATTATAACGTGCATGACGGGGCATCAAGATACATCGTTCGTAATTCGGTGCCACGCGGAAAATATTCTTGGACCTTCGAAGAGCCTCGAAACGGTTCGAAACGGTGGAAACTTTTCCGATCGGTTGACCCGATAGGACGCGGGCCCGACGAAATCGAGACCGAAAGCGAAACCAAAAGCTAAACCGAAACGGATCGGTGTTTCCTCCGGGGGCGAGAGGTTCGTCGCGTGGCCCGCGCAGTCGCTTTGCGGCGCAGGTGCACCGGAAGATGGCCGAGACCGGCACGGAGCGACAAGGTGAGGCAAGGTGAGGCAAGGTGAGGCGGGACGGGTCGAGAAGTGGACGCGATTGCCACTAAACGAACGTTTGTCCCGTTTCGACGAGCTTCGCCGATCCGCGAGCAGAGATCGCGAGCAGAGATCGCGTGGAGATCGCGAGGAGATCGCGAAACGGAAACGACGACGGATGAGAAAAAGGTGGGAAAGTTCTCGACTGCGGCGTTCGTTCAGTTCGAGTTACGGCTCGCCTAATTGCCTCAATTTAGTACGTGCGAACACGGCCGAGGGACGAGGAGAGCGGAAAAAGCGCCGCGCGTGTGTCCACGGCAACGGAGAAAATGACGATTCATTTATTCTATTACGGCGATAACCTATTAATATGCAAAGAATTGATAAATTTGATTACGGCAAACGCCGCTCGGCTAGATAGAAAAGGTATCATTATACGTGTTTAGTTGCATCACGCTTGAATGAGGCAGTGAGGTCGCAAAAAAAAAGAAAAAAATCTGAAATGCCGCAAATATAATTTGCGTTCCGACAGATGCGAGTTTATCGGATCTCTGAATTTACCATTCTGGTTTCTCTCGCGTTTGATAGGAAAAGACGCGTGCGTATTATTTTATTTTATTTTATTTTATCTTATTTTATTTATTCGATTACAGGTTTAATCGCCTCGTATACAATTAATACAATATATCTATAAAAAGTGCGTAAATTATATCTACGAAAACTATGAGAACTTATAAATTCAGTAAACTTAAACTTAGAACAAAATAAACTGAATCGCAAAACAAAATAAACTCAACGCTAAATCTACGACAACGGTAAAAAAAAATGACCAATATCATATTTTTCATTTTAAAATTGTTGAAATTATGGAGACTTTCTCACTGGAATTGATTGAATAGTTTTGGGCCAAAAAATGTTGGCCGTACGGTTAAAAATCCAAATGGCTCGGTTGCTGTAGTTTGCACATTTTTAATTTTAAGATTATTGACGTTACATGTATAGATTTCTATGGAGGAAATGATTCAACAAATTTCCTAATTCGTGCATATATTGCTATAAAAAAATCAATTAACTCGTTTTCGGTGCTCGTAGTAACTCCTAAATCATTTTTCGGGGCCGCAATTACCAGTTCGCCGTCGATAATTATCGAACACCCGCGACAACAAAGGCGCAGGCCTTTCAATTAGCCCGGCGGGGCACGATCGACTTCTCCGTTTAGGCTAATTTCGCCGGTCAAACAGAAGTTTCCAGCCCCCGAACGGACTCGAACTAATGGATTTCATTGAGCGACGTTTTACGAGATATTTAAGGGTGTTTCGGGTGTAATTTATCGCGGCAATTTATGCCCCTTTTGTGGATATACCGCGCGCGCGTTCATTTTTATAGGTATGCTAATAAACTGGAGGCCGCAGCTGCGCGCTCTAAGGATGCGTGACCGCATCCGCGTTACGAGATATTTGTGCGCAAGGGAGAGAACCTCGTCTCCTAACCCTGTCCTCGCATTAAACTACAACTCGTAACGCTGACGCGCGAGCTCGCGATGACGCTCGTCGTGCTCGCTCAACGAGGTAGCCCGCCGTTCCCGCCGTTCCCGCCGATTTCTTCGGGTCGATCTGCTAACAGAAATCTCGGCGATTAACCCATCCGCGGATAATAACGGGTTAGATGCGTCGACGAAATCGAAGTGACGAGTTTTACCCGTGAATCTGTTGCAACCAATTTGCATTCGAGACTAGCCAGCTTCGCCTATTTTTATTACAATTAGTCGATAGATATTGTCACGTTATATTCTTCATTTTTCCTCTTTCACTCGTCGCATTGCCGTTTCTTCCACAACTACGTTGATCAGCCATCCTTTGTTAGCGATTTAAGTCATTTGATCAGTGAAATAGAAACTTGAAACATTAGTATGACTCTATCGTATTCTAAAAATTCTAGCAGTATTTCGTTCCAATACAAAAATATGTAGTAAATATTGAAAATATTACGGTAAATACAGTTAAGTAAAAATGAAAAATATATTATAATAAAAACTGCAAATATTGTACAGCAGAAGCGACATTCAAATCTAGTTTAAAAATAGCGTCACCCATGTGTGACTGATGCGCCACTCGACTTGTCAATAAATTCCTTCGCGAGAAAGAAAACTGCTGTTTGTTATACGATTACATTGATAGCAATTACCGAATA